GCCTGCGGCCGCCCACAGCTGGGGCTACGGGCGCCTGCAACAGGACCCTTCGCCGGAGGTGTGAGGACCTGGTTTTGCTCCTCCTGATAGGTCTTGAGGGGTGATGTGGCTGTGGAGCACAGCTCTGGAGCCTGAAGGAAAAGGCACATGATATGCTCCTATCTCGAAATAGCACTTTCATTGAAAAAGACAAAACAAAAAAACAAACCGTGGTGTTCATAGTACATAACCAGTAACATGTTTTTCATCAGCTGGCTTTGTACTGAATATAAACTCTTCACACTGCTGCGTCTTAAAAATGTTTAATTTTAAGCCTTAATGCCACTGATAATTACACATTTTTCATCTTTTCAACTTGTAATTTAAACAACACACCAGGCCACAATCTTGGAAGACAGAAAAGGGAAAACTTACCAGAGGTTTGGGGTTGACTTCAGTGGAAACCAGCTTGAGTAAGCAGCGCAAAACTCGATTTGTCCTGTCGGGCTTTGGCTGCACTGAGGCTTGTCCCTCTTCTGAGTTGCTGGGTGGAGCTGTGACCGGCTGCCACTCGTACTCCAGCTGCAGCTTGCCTGGCTTCCCAAACATCAGGTACAGCTCGGCCAAGGTGACGTTCTCTGCGTCACGGGCGCTCCAGCCTTCCTCTCTGATTTGCTCAACGACCCGTTCTTTGGTCGCTGGTGGGGAAGCTTGCGACGCGGCTTCGTCTGAGCCAGTCACTGGAGGTTTGACTGAAGGAGGCTGGTTTGCCTCCGAGGAAGACGCGCTGGTGCTCTGCTCCTCTTTGTACTGCTCAGCGGAGCCATCGGCACCACTACATGACCTGTCCGTGCTTCTGGTCATGGCTAAACCACCACTGACCTCAACGCCAGTGCAGGCCTTTCCTGGATCAGAAGATCCCATGCCATCTCCCTCTTCTCTGACAGTCTGCTGAGAGGAAACTGGGACACAAGGGGACTGAAGTCTCTTCTCCTCTACCTTTGCAGAGCTGTCTGCTGATGGATCAGGGTTGGGGGTTTCAGTTCGACGAGCATCACCTGTAATAGTCAGTGAAGCACCAGCAACAGCAGCGCTTGCCCGCCCAGATTTGCTGCCAGTTCGAGGTTGTGGAGCTGCATGGATGCCCAGGATCTGGGCAGCTGGCAACTCCTTGGCATTAGGCCGGCTCTTGCCACTCTCGATCCAATGGACAGTGCAGGAGGCTTTGGAGTGAACCACACGTGCCACCCCAGGCAGTGCAGTCAATGTGCAGCTCTCAGCTGGAAAAAGAAAAAGTTCTTCCTTCTGAGTTATGCTGGGAGAGGCTGTGCTGGTCTGGTTGCCTTCTAGAGCCTCTCTCTCCATGAGACTCTTAAGCTGAGTTTTCAAAGTTAAGGACCAGTTTATATTCGACACAAGCTGGTATATGCCCCAGAAAGCAGCATGTTAGAGCAGTACATTTCTAATATGTACACTAGGAATGAAAAACACTCTGAAGAGTTTTGCATACATATTGCACTGTAATGTTTTGTTTTTTTTGTAAAGGATACAATCCGCTGGTCATGATAAGCCCACTTCTGTTTCAGATACTCTATGAGGCTGGAGACTTTCCTGTGGAGCTCCACCACCATCCTGAGAAAACAGAAAAAAACACTTGATGTCAACTTTGCAAAATACAACACTACCAGGTCTAATACGTCTGACCTAAACTACTTCTACATTTTACACTTAGACTACTGTGGATCAAATTTAATAGAGTTTTCTAAAACCAAAATAATCCTGTGTGGGAAAAATCAAAACGCCAACTA